GCTAAGTGAAATAAGTCAGTCAGAGAAAGACAAGTATCACATGATCGCACTCATATGTGGAGTCTAAGTAACAAAATAAACTGATGAACGGAGTGGATCCAGAGACATGGAAGCATGAAACAGAGCAGGGAATCTCAGAGGAAGGTGGGGGAGGGTGGGTGAATGGGAGGTAATCAAAAAAAGACCTTGTATGCATATATGCATAACCCATGGACACAGACAATAGGGTGCTGAAAGCCTGGGGCAGGAGAGCGGGTGTCAATGGGGGAAAACAGGGGACATATGTAATACTTTTAACTTTATAAAAAATTATATATTAAAAAAAATCATACTCATTAATATAATCACTGGTCTCAACAGAAAAGTCTTTAGTATTGGGAATGTGATAAGCTCATGATTTTCCAAAATTCTAATTTTCACTTGTAAGCTCGAGTTTTATCACTGGTAACTAATACAGTAAGTTGTTTTCCTTAGTGACAGGTTTATTGCATTTTTGAGAAGATATCTGCTAGACAGCAAAGCGTGAAATATCAGTCTGTCAGTTCTTCACATAAAATTACATTCCAGCCCAGGCTGGTGTGATTAAGTAGTTAAGAGCATCAGCCTGTGCATCAAGACTCATGGGTTCAACTCCTGGTCAAGGGCACGTACCTAGGTTGCTGGTTCGCTTGTGTGGGAGGCAACTAGTTGATGTGTCTCTCTCACATCAGTGTTTGTCCCTCTCACATCAGTGTTTCTCTCTCTCTCTCGCTCTCGCTCTCTCGCTCTCGCTCTCTCTCTCTCTCTCTCTCTCTCCCCCTCCCTCCCTCCCCTACTCCCTCTCTCCCTCCTTCCCTTTTACTCCCTTTGTAGAGCAATAGAAAAAATATCCTCAGGTGAGGATTAACAACAACAACAAAATTATATTCCATGAAAAAGCAGCTGGTTCAGCCCACAACTCAAACAAGCACACATGCTTTTCAATGAGCTAACCTTCATCTTTTGGCATCAGCAGAAGTGCTTTGTGTGCACTTCACATTATCACAAGGAACACTGATATGTACTCTAGAGTGGAGAGTTAGTAAAGTTAACAAAATCTATTGTTTCATTAAGAACATTCTTAAATGACTCTGGCTATTTAAAAATTTATTCTTCGTGGTTTTTTTTTTAAGAGGAAAGGAGAGGGAGAGAGAGAAACATTGATGTGAGAGTGGAACATTGATCAGTTGCTTCCTGCATGCCCCCTCCCTGGGCATGTACCCTGACCAGGAATCAAATCAGCAACCTTTCAGTTTACAGGTATGGGTTGAAGCCCAACCAATTGAGCCACACCAGCCAGGGCTTTTTAAAAAATTGCCAGTGGGTTAAAAATAAACAAAAAATACAAATAGCATTATTTGGTCCATTGCTTTGATTTGTACTAAGGCACCAAACCAGCACTTCCACCATCAGTATAAAGGCAATGTTTGCATATTATTATGAAAATGGTTTTGCAAACTCTCTGCAAAGGTCTCTGAGACTCCTAGGGGTCCATGACCATACTTTGGGAACTGCTACTCTAAATTCAAGGGTACTTTCTAGAGTAAACTCAAAACTTAGAATATGAATTCTCTAACTGTGAGATTCCGAAGGAGCTGTATAGATAAACTAATAGGAAGACACTTTCTAATTGAAAATCGAATTAAAAGGAGGCCCACAAGACCAATATGACTAAGTAACTCAGTTCACAATAACCAAGACATAGAAACAACCTAAGCATCTTTCGACTGATGGTTGGATAAAGATACTGTGCATACAAATACAATGGAATACTAGTCATAAAGAAGGTGAAATATTGCCATTTGTGACATGAATGGACCTTGAGAGTATCATGTTAAGCAAAATAAGACAGCAAAGGACAAGAACCACATGATTTCACTCATATGTGGGATATAAAACAAAAAAGCAACCAATGAATAAACAAAAGTCACAAACAACAGTATGGTGGTTAACAGAGGAGAAGGGGGTAGGAGGAATATGGTGACGAGAGTAAAAGGGGTCAAACATATGGCAACAAAAGGAGACTAGACTTTGGGTGATGAGCACATAATGGGATATACAGATGTTGCATTATAAAACTGTACATCTGAAACTTATATAATGTTATTAAGTAATGTTTCCCAATAAATGTAATTTTTAAAAAAGGCTTCAGCTTAAAATGTCTCTAGCCTTCCAACGTCTGTGTTCTTGACCATAGTTAACTAATTTTATATTTTTATTTAATCTACTCAGCTAAGAAATCCTTGGACAGCAAACAGATGAAGAAAGGTCAAAAGAATATTCAGTATACCAACCTAGATCAACCAGCTTCTTCCTACCTTAGAGCCACTCGATACTTCTGCCCCAATTTCTCAATTTCAGCCATTACACAGTCAGTTATACAAGGGATACCTGCCAGAAAAAACCCCACATATTAATAAAAGAACTTGTGAATAAACTGGTTTTACTCTCTCTGAATTATATCCTGCCAAGAATCTTAGGAAGACCCATGAGCTCGGCTGATGTGGCTCAGTGGTTGAGCACTGACCTACGAACCAGGAGGTCACAGTTCAGTTCCCAGTCAGGGCACATGCCCAGGTTGTGGGTTCGATTCCTGGTTAGGGCTCATACAAGAATCAACCAAAGAAAACATAAATAAGTGGAACAACATATCTTTCTCTCTCCTTCTCCCTCTCTAAAATACTTCACTTTAACACAGACATATTCACTACAGCCTTGTTTATAACAGGGTAAAAACTAGAATTACTGACAGAAAAACATTCATGATATATTTTTTCAATATAAAAAAATACAATATAAAAGCAAGGAGAAATGGATAAATGTGATCTATCCATAGAATAGATATATAGATCTATCCATACAATAGAATATTACTTGGTAATACAAAGAAATGATGTACATGCTTTAACATAGGTGACTTTTGAAAATGTTGTGCTAAATAAAAGAGGACCAAATATTTTATGATCCCATTTTAATGAAATGTCCAGAATAGCTAAATCTACAGAGACAGAAAGCAAATTGTGGTTGCCTAGGAATGGTGGGAAAGGGAAGAGTTTAGGGATGTTGGCTAAGGATCCACAGTTTTGTGGGGTTTTTTAATAAATAAAAATGTGGGTTTTAAAAAATTGATTTTCAGAGAGATAGGAAGAGAGAAGGAGAAACTTTGACGTGAGAGCAAAACACTGATTGGTCACCTACCACATGCCCTCTACTGGGATAGAGCTCAAAACCTGGGCAGGTTCCCTGACAGGGAACTGAACCCGAACCAGCAACCCTTTGGTGCATGGGACGGCGCCAACTGACTGAGCCACACTGGCCAGGGCAGTAGTGAAAATTTTAAAATATTGACTATGACTACACTAAAATCCATTGAATTATATACTTTAAACTAGAGGCCCAATGCACGAAATTCGTGCAAGGGGCTTGGCCCCCGTCTGCCGCGGTGGCTGGGGGGGGGCCTCTGCCTCGGCCCCTGATGCTGCGGCTTTGTCTGGAAGGATGTCTGGTCTAATTAGCATATTACGCTTTTATTATTATACATGGGCATATTATAGAGTATATGACATATCTCAAAGCAGTTAAAAAAAAGCACAAACATACATAGTAAGTAATGCATGATCCATTTTCATTAAAAGAAAAACAACCTTCACCCTACAGAGATTGTATATGAATTTTTAAAACCAACCCTCTCTGAGGTAAGGCATTATAGGGAACTTTCATTTTTTTTTAATGCTATATATTTTTTCAAGTACATTAATACTTTTGAAAGCAAAGTACAGAAATGTTAAAATCACTATAAAGAAATGGAAAGTAATGGGAAAGAGGACTGATGGGCATAAAAGAAAGCTGATGGGAAGCTAACTATTCTTTCTTGTTGGAGTATCAGATGGAAATGGAATATCCCAGGAGCTATGAGAAGGTCAAAGGGACATCTTCAAGGCAAGAAGAAGATAAAGGCCTTCCTTTAGGTATAAAGGCAAGTGAAGAAAAAATTAGTAAGCAGAGTTTAAAACAGTTAATTTCCTAGGTAAGTGAGTTTGCACTTACTTAAATGTTTCTTCAGCCTTTAGTTTGAGGTATTATGTTACACAAAAGACTGCAAAAAGTGGTATTCTCCTTAATAAGCTTGTTTTTAGAAAAGGCATTACAGCTGTCCTCTAAAGTATCCATATCTAGAGAAAGCCTAAACAGGGCTAAAGCTCTCTTAAACAATCATCATGTAGATAATAATGGTGGAGCTATAGCATTAAGGAAACAATTCACCTCCAAGGGCCAGGCTTGTACCCTTGATCCATCTCATTTACAAACAGGTCACAGCATTCCTGAGAAGCTGGAGAAGCAGCTAAGACAGCTATAAGAAACACCATGGAAATACAAGAAGTCTACCAAGTTTAGTGTCTTTCCTCATAAAGGGCCTTCCTAGTTCACTCTTACAGCCATGTTAGTGCCCCGACTTGAGACTAATCTTTATTATTTCTAAGAGATTTAAAAAAAAAATTTAAAGTATTACATATACATAGCTTTAAAAAGAAATACAAAAAATAAAAAGAAAAAGAAAAAGAAATACAGAAAGGCCTATATGAACAAGTAACAGTCCCCTGAAACTTCCCTACCCCTTCAATTCTGATCCTTAAAAAGATAATTATTTTACTCTATTAGCTGTTTTCCTCACTTGGTAGTTACCTTCGTATATTAACATAATAAACTTATGTAGTTACTTAAAAAATTTATATATTTTTATTGATTTCAAAAAATATTTTTATTGATTTCAGAGAGGAAGGGAGAAAGAGAGAGAGATAGAAGCATCAATGATGAGACAGAATCATTGATCGGATACCTCCTGCATGCCCCACACTGGAAATGGAGCCTGCAAACAGGGCATGTGCCCTGACCAGGAATCGAACCGTGACCTCCTAATTCTTAGGTCGATGCTCAACTACTGAGCCATTGAGGCCAGGCACACTTTGAGGCTAGGCACACTTTTTAAAAATATATATATATTTTTTATTTATTTCAGAGAGGGAGGGAGAGGGAGAGATAGAAACATCACTGATGAGAGAGAATCATCGATCAGCACCTCCTACATGCCCCACACTGGGGACTGAGCCCACAACCCGGGCATGTGCCCTTGACTAGAATCAAACCTGGGACCCTTCAGTCTGCAGGCTGGCGCTCTATCCACTGAGCCAAACCAGCTAGAGCCACACTTTTTACATTTATTCATTTTAGACACTTAAAGAATTTAGTTTTTATCTATCATATCCTTATACTATCTTGCTAGTTTTAATACATCAATAAACATTTACATTACTATCACTCTATAATGTTACTCATAGTATCTTTTAAATATTAAAGGAGGTGCAAATTTTTCCTTTGATTCCAATAATTCATTCATTATGGAAAAGCATAAGTCTACTTTTCACTTGTACCTTTAACCAGATGACTGGAAAATATTATGAATATAAACTCACCACAAAATGCAACAGATCTCACTATTAGGAAGTTATTCCCTTTTACATGGCCTAAATTTTCTTTTCCCTATTCACGGTAGTGAGGGAAGATCATTTGAAGGAAGGGACATCTAAATACTCAAGGGACATATATTAATGGTAAACCGTATACCTAGGTGTAAACTACCCCAGATCCTTTGTGGTACAAATAAATACCAAAGTAGGAAGCAGTGACCATCATCACTTCCGGTTCTGTGATTGTAAATGACAAAATGTCTTATTTCACTTTTCTATACTGGAGTGGAATGAAGAATGCTTCCTCCTCAATGTAAAAGAATAAGAATATATATACTGAGAAATATAATAAATTTTCATTTATCCCGAATATTACTTACTTAATTTTTTATTGATTTTAGAGAGAGCAAGGAGGGAGGGAGGGAGGAAGGGAGGGAGAAAGAGAGAAGGAGGGAGGGAGAAAGAAAGAGGAAGGGAGGGAGAGAAAGAGAGAGAGAGAGAGAGACTGATGTGAGAGAAACATCCACTGGCTACCCCCATATGCACCCTGACCAGGGATCAAACCCGAAACCTGGGTCTGTGCCCTGACCAGGAATCGATCCTGCCACCTTTTGGTGTACAGGATGATGCTTCAACCAACTGAGCCACACTGGCCAGGGCTGCTCATTTATCCAGAATTTTAAAATCCAGAATTAGGAAACAGAAAATTCCCCTAGTATTTTCAAAGTTATTGTCCATAATAAGTACCTAAGCACACTAAGTGTTTTCTGAATTGAGAGAATTTATTCCCAGTCAAGTTTGCATTATACTTCAATTTATTAAAAATGGTCATTGCTATGGTGAGCACATTAAATGCTCAGCAATTAAGTTAACTAGAACCCCATTCCCCTCTTTTCATGTATTTGGATAAATATGATTATTCTGTATAAATGTCATAGAAATGTAAAAGTATGATACTCACACTTGGCATAGAGACAATCCATCATTGACTGCACTAAGTCCAGTTTGGCCTTAATGGAAAAGTTGATAAAGTTGGTATCCACCAGGATGTGGTAAGGTGGGCCTAGCTGTGTGTTATATTGGAAGAATAAGCAGGAGGGGTGTTGGGGGCTGAAAGAGAAAGAAACAAAACACAAAGTAATATCTACATTGATACTTTGGTATGAACAAAAAGAGTCTCTACTTGGAACAGATTACTCTAGATTAAGCTCTTTTTTCTTTGTTCTTGGAGATAAATCCTGTGATGGTTTATCCATCACCATACTAGGGCAAAATGAGGAAAATAAGCAAAATGTGATGAGGTTTCATAAAATTAAATGTATTTATTTACAAGAAATAACCTTTATTCTAAAAATATGGTCTTACTATTTTTTTTGATGATACATTCTCTCTTTTAAGAAATGCCAGTGTGTTAAACAATGACCATTATTTCTTTTAAAAGATTCCTGGCAAAGAAAACAAATAATGATATTAGATTTAATCCCCAGGATTTCAAAGAAAATTTTACTGCTCCATGAAATAAAAAAACATTTGAACCATTGGAGTTGGTATATGCTCATCAATATCACTTTCATATGCATAGTTGTGCTATACTTAGAAATGACTGAGCAAATCAGTTCGGGAAATCCTGGATTTCTAAGGGGTCTATGGTTTTAGAATGTTTTAAAGGAAAACGTGAAAATATTGATTACTCACACTTCTCTTTCTTTGAGTGCACTGGGATCTTTCTTTTCTTTCTTTTTAGGTTTTAATCTATCCTTTTCTTTACTAGGGAAAAAAAGTAAATTAAATGCAGGAAAGAAAAACCAATAGCAGTTATAATCTCATTCAAAATTTAAAGTTTCTTTTTGTCTTCAGAGAAAATCTTACTTTGTGACTTCTTTACATTAGTATAAGCATACATATTTTAATAGATTTTTTTTTATTGATTTCAGAGAAGAAGGGAGAGGAAGAGAGAGATAGAAACATCAATGATGAGAGGGAATCATTGATTGGCTGCCTCCTGCACGTTGGATGGAGACTGCAACCCAGGCATGTGACCTTGACCGGATTTGAACCTGGGACCCTTCAGTCTGTAGGCCGACACTCTATCCATTGAGCCAAACTGGCTAGGGCTAAGCATACATTTTTTACATTAATATAAATATATATATTTTTGAGCACAAATAACTGTGTGGGAAGTTTACATAATTCATTAGACATAATTAAATTTAACAATCTCTCGCCAAAAACTCATACAATTTTTTAATGGATAAATAAATGTTGGTTATACTATCATTTCTTCTTTAGCCAGAAGCTTTTTATCAAAGATCAAAATCCAGCCCTAACTGGTTTCTGTAGGCCGATAGAGCGTCAGCCTGTGGACTCAAGGGTCCCAGGTTTGATTCCGGTCAAGGGCATGTACCTTGGTTGTGGGCACATCCCCAGTAGGGTGTTTGCAGGAGGCAGTTGATCGATGTTTCTCTCTCATCAATGTTTCTAACTCTCTATCCCTCTCCCTTCCTCTCTGTAAAAAAAATCAATTAAAAAAAAAAGATCAAAATCCACTTTCGAGCAGTGGGTAAAAAGGCTGATGTTTATCTTTAGATGCTTCAACAGTAGGAATGGGGGAGGAATCCCCATACACCTTTTATAAAGGGCTAAAATGTAACCATACATATACAAAATTTAACCTTTAACTAGAAAGAAAATATTATTAATGGGAAATTTCCTAAAAATTACATAATACACACTAAAGGCAGAAAATACAATTTAATAACTCTGAAAGCTCTAGTGGCCATTCATTTGTATTGAGACTCTTAAACACAATACCAGTCCTTACTAACTTTGTCCATTCTTCACTGAAGCTGTGAAGCTTTTCACACCCTCCTTATAATAGGGAACATCATTCCACTTTCTTCTCCCACAGTCATCTGAATTCTTATGAAATTTATAAAATGAAGACATCTAGGTGTTTCCCATTCTTTCTTTCAAAAATATTTGAGTGTCAGGTGCTGGAGACTCAAGACAAAGATCACTTCTGACCTCACCTTCCTTCAACAATTATAACATTTTTTCCCTATCGAATATAGTAGTCTAATGACAAGAACATAAATATAATCCCACCCACTTCACAGAAATATTAGGAGGCTTAAATGTGATATGGTAGATAAAATATATAAAAATGGTGGCACAAAGTGAACGCTTAGATGTTTAATTCCAGTCCCACTCACCAGGGTACTCCTTCAGCAGCTAAGTGGCTGTTATACACTTGACTATCTCGTGCTATATACATACATCCAAGACACAATGCTATTAAAAGTGAAGGCAAAGTAACAACAAAAGTTTTAACTACTTATCCCCTCGTGACTTCTACATCTTTGGGCAGTCTATGAACCCCGTTGATGCCAGACACTCACAGCCTCTGATCTCTGAGACTAAGCATTCGCTTCATGGTCGCATACTTCCTCGTTTTCTTTTGCTTCCCCTTGAAACAGAAATTTTAGAGTTAAGAGTCGGAAAATACATCCCATGTTCTTGAGTTCCTTCCTTTCTTTTGCCCATTCCCTTCCCTTCTTCCCTCAAAAAACCCAGTTCCTCCGATCCTCTCTGCCCCAACCCGGCCCACTCCCTACTCGCTGGAGCATAACAGGCCCCGCTTCGAGCAGTTTAAGAGCTAAGATTAGAATGAAAACAAGCAGGGGCGTGAACACTGGCCAGGGGATGACTCCCTGAATCTCCGCTCAAACGCGGTCTGACCATATCCCTTCTCAATCCTCCTCTCTCACCATGTTCACGCCGCACTCTTGTTTCTTCCGGAATCACCGCCGGCGCGACACTTTTACGTCACCCATAGACTGTTTCCGGCAAAGGCTAGCACGGAAGCGGAAGCCGCTTTGGAAAACGGAAAAGCCCGGAGCCGGTTTCCAGCCCGGGTGGAGATCTGCACTTGGATCCCTTGTAGGGCGAGTCGAGGGCCGGTCTTCTGCCGGGGGCGGCGCCGCCCGTTGGGGCAGCGGAGCTGGGACGTCGTTGCGCTGCGCCCTCCAGCTCTGGTAACCGCCCCCCCCCCCGCCGCTCCCGCGCGAGGCAGAGGACCCGCCTGCACCGGAGTTTCCGAGAGAGGACTGGGTGTGTGGGGTGGGGGCAGGGGGCACCGGGGGCGGAATTCTGGGTGGTCCGGTAGTTTTGGGAAACGCATTCTCCCCCTCCCGCGGCGCCGGGCTTCAGGTCTCTGTGGTGCCGCTCGGAAGCTCTGGTTCCTGCCCGGTTCTCCTGCCCGCGCGGTGCTTTCTGCAGCTGGTGGGCGAGAGTCGAAGAGTCTTCCCGAGTGAACACCTTTTGTTCCTCTCGGAGAAGGGAGGGATGAAGCAGCGTTTCAGGGTCCTTTAGAAAACGAGTTACCAAGCCAGGGAAATGGTGGGGAATAGTTGAGATTTCTTGTGAAGCCTTGGTGTATCATTCCTAGTGGGAAAAGGGGCGTTTTAGAGGACAAGAAGGGAAAGATAACTCATATTTTGAGTACCTGCTATGTATTCCGGTGGCTTGTGTAACCTTTTGGAGATCACGTACCCCTTGAAAGGTTATGGAAAGCCAGGGGCGATTCTTAAAAAAATGGGTACACGTACAGTATCTGTCCTACAATTTAGGAGACTCGTGGATTGCGAAGTCCAGCCGTGGATCCTCTAGGTGTCTGTGAGCTTACTTCTATCTTGTGTACTGTACTTGGCACTTTATATTCTTTGACCTCCACAATAACTTAAGTATCCTCATTTTACATATGAGGAAGCTGAGGTTCAGACTTTATTCGGGGGGTTATTTGAGTCTGTTTGAATCCAAAGCCTGTACTTTTCTTATTGCAAAGCTATCCTAGTGTTTGAGATTCAAAAAGGTTTTTTGTTTTTTTAAAAATATATTTTATTGATTTTTTACAGACAGGAAGGGAGAGGGATAGAGAGTTAGAAACATCGATGAGAGAAAAACATCGATCAGCTGCCTCCTGCACACCCCGTACTGGGGATGTGCCGGCAACCAAGGTACATGCCCTTGACTGGAATCGAACCCGGGACCCTTCAGTCCGCAGGCCGACACTCTATCCACTGAGCCAAACCGGTCAGGGCTCAAAAAGGTTTTAAAAAAAAATAAAAAGCCGACTATTGCATGACCCTTACTGTAGTGTATTGGTTAACATGAACTTTGGAGTCTGACTGATGTGGCTAAAATCCATTCTCTGCTTCTTACCAGCTATATGACATTGGGGGTGTTCATGTATCTGTGCCTCAGTTTCTTCATTTGTATAAATGGAGATAATCATAATACTACCTGTCTTACAGGGATGTTGTTAACACTAAATATGTTAAAATGTGAAGTCCCTAGAACTGTGTGTCCATCACAATTAAATCCTATTATTGCGATTGTGTCTTCCAACATAGACTATGTGGTGGTATTATTTTGTGTCAATTGTATTTTAATATACAGGATGTCCCCCAAGTGTATACAAACTATAACAGCTGATAGCTGAAAAAGAAGTGTATTTTAATAGATACTGCCTTTATAATTATTCAAAATGTGTGTATATATTTTTTGCTCTATTTTGGAAATGAGTTGATAACCTAAAGAACCTTATTAAGTTTTCAATTCTTAAAAAGCTCAAAGGAAGGATGATTTCTCATGTTGATTTGAGTATAGACAGTTTTTGTCCTGCTTCTTTCTTTCTTTTTATTTATTTATTATTTATTTATTTATTTACTTCTTTCTTTTAAAACATGCATGCATTTAGATAGCTTGCAGTTCACATATATGACTTTGTAGTCTCTGAATTTTTTATGTTGAAACAGTTTTATTATTAAAGTAGCTACAGATACTGTATGTGCCTCCTGCCATCACTGGAAGTTCCTAATCTTTTCAGAACAGCTTGTCTGTCAGTCAAACTGTCATTCATGGGTAGAGCTGACAGTGACCACTTTTTTGATACGTTAGAACTTTTTGGTTATTAGGCAATACACTTTTTTAGTAAACATGATCAGTTTGTTTTTTAAAAACATCTGGAGACTGATTCGTATACATAGGTTTAGAGGGAAAATTGCATATAATTAAATAGTAATTTGCATTTAAATTCGGGCATTGAAAAATTAGAAACACTTTCCTGGTAGTATGTATTCTGAACTTTGGAATCCATGAACAATAACAAATTTAAAAAAAAAACCCCGAGTAGCTTATCATATCTATTCTAAGAATTTTCTGATTTCCTTGATTGTTAATACTTACTAGGGAGCTAAATTACTATGGGAACACCATGGGGGATGAGAACATACTTAGAGAAATATGTTTTTGTTGCATTGTAACTTGATTGCAATCTGAGATTCTTTTAAAAAAATATTTTTATTGATTTCAGAGAAGAAGTGAGAGTGACAGAAACATCAATGATGAGAGAGAATCACTGATTGACTGCCTTCTGCACAATCCCCACTGGGGATTGAGCCCCAAACCTGGGCATGTACCCTGACTGGGAATCAAACCATGACCTCCTGGTTCATAGGTAGATGCTCAACCACTGAGCCACACCAGTGGGCACAATATGAGATTCTTTTAAGTCCAGTTGCTCTTTTTTTTTTTTTTTTAAATATATTTTTATTGATTTCAGAGATGAAGGGAGAGGGAGAGATAGAAACATCAATGATGAGAGAGAATCATTGATTGGCTGCCTCTGCACGCCCCACTGGGGAACGAGCCCGCAACCCGGGTATATGCCCTGACCAGGAATCCAACCAATGACCTCTTGGTTCCTGGGTCGACGCTCAACTGCTGAGCCACACCTGGCTGGGCCACAATCTGAGATTCTTATGGTGTAAGATTAAAGTACTCAAATATAGGATGTTTTGGTGGTGATGAGAGGGAGAGATGGTATTGCTTTGTGTTGAGTGGGAGCAGAAAGTAATTACTTTTTATTGCATACTTGTGAAAAATAAATGAGTTTAGCCCTCCTCAGCAGTCAAGAAGGTTATTTTTTATTTTTCTGCAGTCTTGAAGAGAAAAAATTGCTCAAGGCATTCATTCCACAATTTAAACTCATTATTGGGCTTGGACTTCATCCCCTTCACTAATTGGTCTAACTTACTAATTTAAGTTAATAACAGATTTCTTTATACAATTATGGATGGTGCCCTGGCTGATTTGAATCAGTGCAGCGGTTTTCAACCTGTGGGTTTCGAACAATGAAAATACATCCTGCATATCAGATATTTACATTATGATTCATAACAGTAGCAAAATTACAGTTATGAAGTAGCCACGAAAATAATTTTATGGTTGGGGGTCACTACAACATGAGGAACTGTATTAAAGGGTCGCGGCCTTAGGAAGGTTGAGAACCACTGGAGGGCATCAGCCTAGGCCTAGGACCGAAGGGTTGCAGGTTCCTCAGCTCTGGTAGGGGCGCACGTGGGAGGCAACCAATTTATGTGTCTCTCAAGTTGATGTCTCTCTCTCTCTCTCTCTCTCTTTCTCCCTCTCCCCCCCCATCTACATCCCCTCCCCCCCATAGATAGTATTTTGCACCCCTTCATTCCCAAGGCACTATTAACTCAGTGGAAGAGTTGGCTTTGCTCCCAGGAGGGTGGTGTGAAGTTATCTGAGAAACTAAGAGCTGATCCTGATTGAAGGGCCCTTCCTGGGCTTCCCTAACATGGTGTCCTCTGTGTGCTCACCTCGTAGCTTTTCCTGCATGAACCTATCATGTTATTTTCTTGTCTGTCTTCTTTACTAACCTGTATGTTTTTAGGAGGTCAGGGACTGTCTTACTCATTTTGGAACCCTCATGGTCAACATATTGCTTGGCATGTGGTTCTTAATACACATTTGAAGAAATTAACAAATCCTTGTTTGGTAACATTGATTATTAGGCCGACAGAAGTTTTGTCTTGAATACCTTAAGTGTTGAGTTTCTTATTTATTTTTTAAAATATATTTTTATTGATTTCAGAGAGGAAGGGAGAGGGGGAGAGAGAGAGAAACATCAATGATGAGAGAGAATCATTGATTGGCTGCCTCCTGCATGCCCCCTCCTCCCCGCCCCCCCTCCCCCCCACTGGAGATTGAGCCCACAACCCAGACATGTGCCTTGACTGGGAATCGAACAGTGAACTCTGGGTTCATAGGTTAACTGCTGAGCCACACCAGTCAGGCTTGAGTTTCTTCTTTAAATCGAGCCTTCTTAGGTTGCCATTTCTGTGGTGAGTTGTTTGTCTTCCTGGAGTCTTAACTAAAGAATGCTCTTTTTTTTTCTTCCTTCTGATTATATAAATAATTTGTTTTCCTTAAAAATAAGAGTAGAGCCCTAGCTGGTTTGACTCAGTGGATAGAGTGTCGGCCTGTGGACTGAAGGGTCCAGGATTCGATATGGTCAAGGGCACATGCCTGGGTTGCAGGCTCGATCCCCAGTAGGAGGCATGCAGGAAGGAGGCAGCCGATCAATGATTCTCTCTCATCATTGATATTTCTATCTCTCTCTCTCTCCCTCTCCCTTCCTCTCTGAAATTAATAAATATAAAAATATTTAAAAATTCAAATAAAATAAAAAGAATAGAATTGAAAGTAATGGATGGTGGTAGAAGTTTTGTTAGCTTTTAAGTATATGTGTGACAATTCCAGTTCCACCACTCTGGGCTGTAGATCTGGCCATTTGCCTGCCACTTCATGCACAGTTAATGAAATAACTTCCTAGACTTATTGAGGGAGACGACTTGTCAGATTCAGAGAATTGGTTTAAAAATTTTCCTGTTAAAGCCAAGACTCAGTGGCCCAAGGTCACTTAAGCATAAAAGCTACCATAGTGTGGGAACACAGGGGTCTATCCTAATTCTGTGGATCAGACACAGTAGAGTCAGTTTGGTAAGTAGACAAAAACATCAGGATAAGAGGGAGTTGTAAATAGAAACTGCTATTTTCTTGATTTAGACTAAGGACTGTGATGGGGGTGGGCATAAACAAGCCAGTTTTCTATTTTGTTTTTCTCCAGATATTTCACAAAGTTACAAAATGAATAATGATTAAATTGTCACTTCTCCCCGTTTTACTCACATTAGCTTAGAATCCCTTTTTAACTACTTTCTCTGACATGTTAATATATATATATATATTTATTGACTTCAGAGAGGAAGGGAGACTGGGAGAGAGATAGAAACATCAATGATGAGAGAGAATCATTGATTGGCTGTCTCCTGCACGCCCCCTACTGGGGATGGAGCCCGCAACTTGGGCATGTGCCCTTGACTGGAACTGAAACTGGGAGCCTTCAGTCTGCAGGCTGACGCTCCATCCACTCAACCAAACCAACTAGGGCCTCTGAAATATTGAGAATGGCAAACTCTATTCCAGGGGTGCAGTTGAACCTAAACTGTGCTTTCATGTATATTATTAGTTTCATTTTGAGTCTGAAATGCACATTTTGAGTCTAAAAATGTACTGCTATTGTCTTGGTGAACTTAACCTTTAAAGCCTAAATTTCCTTTTAACCAGTGAGTGATAACTCCTCCAGCCTCCTACCAGGTTAGAGTGACTCAATATGGTGAGAACAAACTTACAAAAGCTTCTCTTTAAAACTAGGAGGATAGTTCATTGTCCCTGACTTAACTTGAAGGTGCATGCTGCGGGTTTTGGAATTTTGTTGTTGTTTTAAGAAGCAGCATCAGAGGACCAGAGGTTTTATGTCATTTTGAAGAGAACCGAGGGACTAAAACCATGGCTAAATTTAGAAATGCCACTTATTAGGGTGAAGAGGGGGGAAATCTGTTAAAAGATAAAAATCTTTCCAAAGTCTGAAATAGTGCTTGGTAATGTGGAAGTTGAAAGAAACAAAGGGATAATAAACCTGAGTAACTAATTATGAGATAAATGGAATGCAGGAGTTTTAAAACTCTTGTTAAAATTTTTGAGATTTTCTTTTGCGAAACTTTTAGGTAAAACTTCTAAGAGAAAACAGAAGAAAATCTTTGTGACTTTGAGTTAAGCAAAGATTTTTTAAAAAATAGGACACAAAAAACACAAACTATAAAGGAAAAAATTGATAAGTTGAATGTCAGTAAATTAAAACGTTTACTCTTTTTAAAAACACTGTTAAGAAAATGAAAAAAGCCACAGGAAATATTTGCCCAACATATCTATCTATAATAATAAAAGTGTAATATGCTAATTAGACTGGACAGGCGAACGACCTTCTGGACATCATTCCAGATGTCCTTCTGGACGAAGCCATCAGGCAGGCAGGTGAGTGGTTAGGGGGGATCAGGCAGGCAGGCGAGCGGTTAGGGGCAATCAGGCAGGCAGGCGAGCGGTTAGGGGCAATCAGGCAGGCAGGCGAGTGGTTAGGGGCGATCAGGCAGACAGGCAGGCGAGCGGTTAGGAGCCAGCAGTCCCGGATTGCGAGAGGGTGCAGGCCAGGCTGAGGGACTCCTCCCTCCCCTGTGCACAAATTTCATGCACCAGGCCTCTAGTAGCTAATAAAGGACTTGTGTTCAG